TGACACGCTGGCGCTCGCAGCGCACCCACGTCCCGACGTGCCCCACCCCGCCCACGCGTGACCGTCGCCCGGCCCCCCAGCTGACGGCCGTGTGGACGGATGTGAGCAACAAGCGTTAGCCAGCGTGGGCCCCAAACAGTGCGCTCCCAGAAATCTGTGTGGCGCCATCAACACAGGCCCCCGACGTCATGATCTTTTTCGTGACGTGGACCCCCGGAGGTCTCGACCCATTCCCCGGGACTGGTTTTTCGTCCTGAGTCGTTTTTGTCACGGTCCCGAGGGCCGGTGAGGGCCCCCAGAGCCAGAAAAGAGCGGAACAAATCCCGCATTCATTTTTTCATATTTCGAAGGAATTTGGGCACGTGGTGCTATCAACGTGGAGCAACCTATGTGCATGACAAAAAACCGTCTCAGGAGCGAGCGCGCGCCGCGAAGGAGCTGGAGGCGGCCCGGCTCTTCGGCGCCTCGAGGCTGCTGGCGGGGCTGCTGCCCACCGTGGACAACCTGGACCGCGCGCTGCGGCAGGCGGAGGAGCCAGCCGCGCGCATGGGGTGGACTTGTTATCCACTGCCACCACCATAAGTAGGAGGGGGAGGGGGTCCTCCTTCTCTTCCTCCTCTTCCTCCTCCTCCTCCTCCACCCCCTCCCCCCTCCGACTTATCGTGGCGGTGGTGGAAAACAGACCCATCAGCATGGAGCATATCGCGGAGGGGGTGCGGCTCACGCGCGCGGACCTCTGCAAGCTGCTCGAGGACTGAGACCCAGACCCCCGCGGGTCATGAAACGATCACGACGGGGAGTTTTCGTATTTTCGGCCTCTGGGCGCCCTTAGCGGCCTTCGGGACCGTGAAAAGCGTCTCAGGACGAAAAAACGGTCCCAGGAAATGGGTCAAGACCGCTGGGGGTCCACGTCATGAAAAGATCGTGACGTCGGGGGTCTGGGCAGGAGGAGGCGATACCGATACCGCGGCTCGTCCTCGAGAGCCCTTTGTCGTGACACGGCGGGATTCTCTTCGAGATTCTGGTCTGGACTCCGCCTGGGAGAGGTCCAGGGGGTAGCGGTATCGGCATCTCTTTGTTGTTCCAAGGACCACGGGGCCTCGCCCATGGGAGAGGCTCGAGGCAGGAAACCGCATTCCGACGTCCCGCCAGTAGTAGTAGTAGTAGTAGTAGTAGTAGTAGTAGTAGTAGTAGTAGTAGTAGTAGTAGTCGTAGTCGTAGTCGTAGTCGTAGTCGTAGTCGTAGTCGTAGTCGTAGTCGTAGTCGTAGTCGTAGTCGTAGTCGTAGTCGTAGTCGTAGTCGTAGTCGTAGTCGTAGTCGTAGTCGTAGTCGTAGTCGTAGTCGTAGTCGTCGTAGTCGTAGTGTCGTAGTCGTAGTCGTAGTCGTAGTCGTAGTCGTAGTCGTAGTCGTAGTCGTAGTCGTAGTCGTAGTCGTAGTCGTAGTCGTAGTCGTAGTCGTAGTCGTAGTAGTAGTAGTAGTAGTAGTAGTAGTAGTAGTAGTAGTAGTAGTAGTAGTAGTAGTAGTAGTAGTAGTAGTAGTAGTAGTAGTAGTAGT